ATGGAATATATTCTCATGTGATAGTCATGCTACTAATCCTTGGACTTGAGATACTAGGTCCTCTCGTATGAGGAATGATATACTTTGATTTCACCTCTAGGGTCTTGAAGGTGACCAGATGCTTAAATAGTGTGTTTTTGGATATGCCATGAAGCATACGAAGGTGAATGAGTGGTTAAGAAAGGATTCATCACCCTAAGTAATATGAAGGGATGTATCTCACTTGTTCTCAATTCTTAATTAACTTGTATAAAGTCTTTGGGCAAAGCATGATGAATTTGAGGAAAGTTAGCTTCATAAATTCATAAGGTTAGTCATGAATTATGAGAACTAATATAGAATATCATAAGTAGACACTGAGCCATGCTTTATGACATATCTAGAATATTTGATGAAAAAATCATATTGCACTATGAAGCTTATCAATGAAGGGCTTTGACAAATTTTTCAATTGACTCTATCATGATGTATTGCTAGATGCCGCTGATGATCTATAAATATAAATTAATTATGAAATTGATATTTGATTAAAATTTATATTTATTACTAATATTTTAGAAACTGAATAGGTGACACACATTAAGTGACATGATTGGGATTAAATAAAGATAATTAATTAAGTTAGACTTAATTAAAATAAATCAAATTAAAATAAAAAATTAATTAAGTTCACAAGGACTTAATTGAATAAAAATACAACTGTTGTATCAGGGGTTACAACTTAGTTTGGCTATATAAATATGTTATGTTAGCCAACTAAAATTCTAAGCCTTCAGCCACTTCTTAGCCATTTCATAAAAATAAGAAAAAAATAGTTTTCTTTGTCTTGCAGAAATAAAATTCGACAAGAACTTTTGGTCTTTTTGTTTTAGAAACAAAACTTGCTGGCATTAGTAAATCTTATCTTTGAGAAGTTCTTATTCGGTCACTGAGTGGATTATTGTTACAGGTTAAACATTTGGATGGTTGAAGATTTGACAAATCTAAAGGTCATGAAGCAAAGATTTGATTACAAGATTTCAGACTAATTTGTTCTCTTTTCGGGTTACTTGCTTTCTCACAAGCATTTTTTGATTTAATTGGTTCTTAATTACGATATATAGAGTAAGGTATGTAACTCTTAAACTTATGAATGTTCCTTATTAATTTGAAAAATTACATGAAAAATAGAAACATTGATCTTATACAATTCGGTTATTTCTCTGATTAAATGATAGTTTATTTTTCTACTGCGTTATGCTTTTAATTTCTTGATTATTTTCTTGTTTAAGCATGAGGTCGAATCTTAGTAAAATGCTTATGAAAGTCATTGAAAAAATTGAAGAGAAAATTGATGAGTGTTGAAAAAGCTGGAAGTAAACGAAAGAAACAAAATTGGGGAACAAGTATTTACATGAACCAATAGTGCTTGAAGGTCTGAGGGACCTACACCACTTCCATCAACGAGACTTGTCAGCTAGAATTGCTAAGGCCTTGAGAAGCCTCAAACAATTCATATGTCCCTTATGTTTACTGGGGGTAAAAATCTTGACATAATGGTAACAGAAATAATTCAGTTGACATTGAAAGAGTAAGGTTGATTTTGGGTTTTGGAAATTGCGTGATAGGGGATGTTATGGTTAGAACTTGTGGATTAGCGTTGTTGTGGAAAAAAGAAGTTAAAGTGGGAGTCCAATCTTATTTAAAAAATCACATTGATGTTGAAATATCAATGAGAAACAATAGTTAACGGGGTTTTATGGAGCTCTAATGGTGAACGATAAACAAAATAATTAGGATCTTTTTATTTTCTTAAGCTCAAAATCCTAACTGTTGTGGTTATATAAGGGTGATTTCAATGAGATTTTCTTTGTGAACAAGGAGGATAGGGGTGCTGAAAGAAGTGAAGTTTGGATGCAGGAATTTAGAGACACATCTAATTCTTGTGGATTGAGAGATTTAGGCTTTTAAGGGCCTAAATACACATAGTGAAACAATAGAGAGGAAGAAGATTTTATCAGATGTCATCTAGATAGTTCTGTAGCTTGTTGTTTTTGGTTGGTAAAGTTTCCAAAAGAAGATTTTATCAGATGTCATCTAGATAGTTCTGTAGGTTGTTGCTTTTGGTTGGTAAAGTTTCCAAGAGTTTGTGCCTTTATTAAGGTAACAATAGCATTGGACTACTTGGCATTGTATGTTGATATATTTTTTCATAAGAGGGTCAACTAGCACTAAAGGTTTCACTTCGAAAAGGCATGATTGAAGGATGAAAATTGTGTTAAAGTCATAATTGAGGAATTAGCGAACAATGAAATGCTTTCATGGGATTTTGTTAACATGTTAACTTAGGTTAAAATGAAATTCATGACTATTAAATCAAACCCACAGAAGGAAATTCAATTGAATATCAAGAGGAAACGAGATGATCTTCAAAAAGACTATGAGTCTAGGAATGGACACCAACATATTAAAATGATTTAAGGGGAATTTAATGAGTTGATGAAAATCGAAGAAATATGTGGAAGCAATGATCTAGGGTTGATTGTTAAAGAGGAGGACAAAAACACAATCCTTTCATGGTAAAGTATCCAAAAAGAAATGGAAAAATACTATTTGGATTTTAAAAAAAGATAATGAGGAGTGGACGGATCCACCAGGTGATATATTTACTGAAATTAATGGCTATTTTACATGTTTGTTTTCTTTTTCAGGTGTTTCATAGCTAGAGGAGAATTCAATGGGAGTATAATAGAAAGTGAATGAAAAGATGAATGATATGTTAAATACAGAAATTACTTTGGAAGAAGTCAAAGTTGCTTTGTTTTAGATGCATCCTACTAAGTTTCTAGGGCCAGTTGGGTTACCAACGATATTCTACCAAAAGTACTAGAGAAAATTAAGAAGTTCTATACACAAATTTGTGGTTGATTTTTTTGAAGGCAGAACAATCTCTCCAAAGATCAATAATACAAATATTGTCCTTATTTCAAAAGTAAATCAACTTGAGTAAGTCAGTTAGTGTAGACCTATTAGTTTATGTAATGTAGGTTACAAAATGACCTCCAACATATTAACTAATAGGTTAAAACTGGTATTACTTGATATAGTCTTTGCAAATAAAAGCACCTTTGTTTGAAAAAGGCTTATTTTCAAATGTCATTGTGGCACATGAAGTCATCCATTACATGCATAATAAAAAATAGAGCTAAGATGGAAACTTCGCCCTTACATTAGACATGAGCAAAGCCTATGATAGAGTTGAGTGGCTTTTTATTCAAGAGATTTTGGAAAATTTAGGTTTCAGAGGTAGGTTTGTGGAAATGATCATAAAATGCATTTCATTAGTTTCATACTCTATTCTGATTAATGTTGTTTTAGATAAATCTTTTATACTAGCTAGAAGGTTACGCTAAGGTGACCTTCTTTCTCCATTTTTGTTTTTGATAGTTTCAGAGGCTTTAATTGATTTATTGAATATGGCTGTATATAGAAAGAATATAACAAGGGTGAAAAGTGGTACAAAGGGCCCTAAAATTACACATTTATTTTTTACAAATGACGGCATGATCTTTGGAAGAGCTAGGAGACGAAAGGTTGCCATTAAAAGAGAAATTATGGAGATGTATAAATGAGCCTTAGGACAAAAAATAAATTTGAATAAGTCAGCATTGATGTTCAGTAACAATACAAGTGAGATTGTTATCCAAAAAGTTTGCCAAACAATGGGAATTAATCAAGATAGATGGGGTGGTAAATATTTGGGTATGCCTTTGATAGGATTTGGTCGAAGAAACAAATCTTTAATTATGTAAAGGAGAGGATTTGAAAATGATGACTAATTGGAAAATAAGTTATTCTCTGCTGCAGGTAAAGAAGTCCTTATTAAATTGGTGGCCTAATCCATTCTTACATATGTGATGAGCTACTTCAAATTGCCAGACTAGTTATGTAAAGAAATTGACTCTGCCATTGCTCAATTTTGATAGAGTGGA